AAATAAATGAGTGTCCATTTGATTATTGTGCTGAAATTATACAACATGACATTTTATTAAGAACAGTTGAAAAGCATTTTAGTTGTTTTGATAATTATGTTGCATGATACAATATTTAAAAACACAGTTTGGCAAATGAATGCCTCTTGAGCCATGATTGCCTAGAAAATACAATATTTTTTTCTTCAAATGAATCCCTTGTATGGGCTCATCTGTAAAAATTGGCCATATAAAGAACTTAATATTAGTTGAATTCTGCTTAAAGATCTTAAATAGGTGGCTGAGTGCCTATTTGACTGGCTTGAAAAAAATACACTAAAAAGTATTTAAGTTGTTCATTTGCCTTTCAAAAAGTCCAATTCCATGTTGAAAGCAGTAAAACTTTTGTTAGTGATAACAGCAGTTAATTTTTGGTAGTTGGTAAACATTATTTAACATAAAATCTCTTAAGTGATTTTTAGAGTTATTTTTTACTGAATTGCATGGTATGTGGTGATTTGTATTCGTCTTGCATTTTAGATAATCCTGAGCCAATATTAAAGAGGAAATGAAAAAAGAAGTCAATAACATTTTTAGCCTAACCAGATGTGAATTCCCCATGTCAGTCTAGCATGGGGAAGTGATTATGAAGTAATGTGATATTTTGAATTTAGGCATATATGGTATCAGTGCAGAAAAAAAAAATTAACCTGGCAGACTTGGCTGCTTATCCTTAGAAAGACCTGCTTGTAAGTTTAACCCTTGGCTGGCATCTAGGAACTAGGCATTCAGAAAACTTCCCTACCCCTCTAACTGGTGAAAGTAGTTCTCCATGCCTGTTACATGCAAGAAAATGGGTTATACTAGACACTTACTTTCCTTCTAAGAGACTGAAATCTTGTTATGTGCCAGGCTGAGATTGCTTGTATGACAAGCTCCCAATAAAAACTCTGTATACCAAATCTCCGACAAGCTTCCCTGGTTGGCCATATTTCATGTATTGATGTTTGAGTCATTTGGGGGTGCTGTAATAGAAATAACAAAGACTGTGTGTCATAAACAATAGAAATTTCTCTTCTCATGGTTCTGGAGACCAGGAAGTCCAAGATCAAGGTACGAACCAATTTGGTTGCTGGTGTGGGCAACCTTGTTTGGTTAGTTGGTGTGGGTAACCTCTTCTTATTCGGTAGACTGGGCTGCCTTCTTGCTGTATCCTCACGTGGCATCATAGGAAGAGATCCTCTCTGATGTCTCTTCTTATAAGAACATTAATTCTGTTCAGGAGGACCCCACTTTCATGATCTAATTACCTCCAGAGGCCCTGCCTCCTAATTCACATAAAGGATTAGGATTTGCACAGATGAACTCAAGAGGGGCGAGGAGTAGATGTCACAGCTCACTGTTGGAAGAATTGAGTCCATCCTGTGTGATCTCCCTGGGAAGAGGGTTCTGGAAGCTTGCACCTAGTCCCCCCTGGCTTCCTGCCATGCACCTTTACCTTTGCTGACTTTGTCCAGATGAAACATAGTCACAAGTACGGCTGTGTGCCGGATGCTGTGGGTCTTCCCGGCAGATCATCAAACTGAGGGATGTTTGGGGGACTCCCCACACAGTACGTTATCAGTGGTGATTTAAAGAACATTTGAAAGCCATGTGCTATTGGTATTTATGTCATTTGTGGATGATGAGGCTCAGCATTCTAGCACTTCCCAAGAGATGCTGATGGTAGTAATCAAACGTTTTTCTCAGCATGACAAGTAGAATACTTTCTCCAGATATCCTAAGACTGGTTATAGGCTGGCCCCTATCTTTAATTTAAAGATGAGTTCTTTAGTTTAATATTTTAAAAGAAAGTTTTTCTAAATTCCCAATGATTTGCACTGTGCCTAGCTTGATAAATGTTGAAGTTAATTGAAGATGACTCCAATAACTCTTGAATGCTCCGCTCTTCGCCAATTCAGTCCTGTCTGCCTGCAGTATCCCCTCCCCACCTGTTCCTTAGCACTCATTCTCTGAACCATGTAAGCACTATTACACACTTCCAGACATTTACATCTAGTAAGTTTCTTCAGTAGAAACTTAGTAAAGTTTCAAGAAATTTATTCTTCAGGTTTTTATGTATTGCTATGCATAATTAACAGCTCTTAGGAAAACTGATGTATAGATTTAACCACATCTAATAATTATTTTCAGTATTTATTAAATGACAGAATCTGAATCTAAATGAAAATTTATATATTAATAGCATCCTTAAGAAAAATAAAAAGCCAATTATGCATATACCAAATGAACTAACCATGATGATGGAAAATTTTTAAATGTTAAAGAGTATCTTCCCCTTTGGAACCATAATTCTCTTTCTCCACCTTTCATCTGTATCCAATGAGTTGCAAAATGGTTTTTTAACTTCCTTTTGAAGGTGCTTTCATACCAATTCCAGTATCCAGTATACTACTGTTGACTGCCATTTAAAGACTTTGGGAAGATTCTACTATTAATGAAATTTTAGGATGCTCTCAGCTGAGGTTCAGAATAACACAAAGCCACAAGTTCATATGGAAATACAAAGTGAAATGGGAAAGCATTGTTGCAAAGTCACCACCAGATAGGTAAAACTCAGGAAGAATTATGCAGATAACTCAGGACACTTTCTTAACCTCTGTTGACTTTCAGTTTGGACGGATTGTGAACAAACTGAAAAATTCTTCCATTTCTGAAGCTCTTGAAGTTATTTTAAGATATGAAGTATTTATAAAAGAAAATCATGTGTGTACTTATTATATCGAAAACATAACTTTTATTCTAGTCTTATGGGATATGTGATTTGAAATGTAGCAATTAGCTAGCAACAAGAATAATAATTTTCTCTAGAAAACTTTTTAGAATAAAATTCTAGTATCCAGTAACTTTGAGACCAAGACAAGAACAAGGCCATCTTGAGAAACTATCAAAGATTCTTCTGACTGGGATTTGGGTAGCAGTTCACTTCTAAATTAGCTGTCCACATGCAGGATGTCTCACTACCTTTGGTAGCTCAGAGATCCCATTTTTCAAAGATTATGTTCGTTGTACCAGCCTGATCCTCAAAGCTTGGTTGGAAGACAAACATAGTCCAGAAATGTGTGTTATTGGACTGCAACTACATTAATGTAGAAATTGAAAGTCTTTAGAAACTTATAGCAACTCAGCCTAGCCATGGCATCCAAATAAGTGATCATTTTTCTAGGTAATTCATCTGTATTATAATTTACAAATGTATTCATCTGTGATGGATTGAAATTTTTTTCTGAATGGCCCTTCACTATATATAATTTAGGAATTTTTTTTAAAAAATCAGATTCCTATATCCCAACACAAACAATGGAACCCACATTTTGGGGATGAGGATAAATCCCAGCAACTGCATTTTAACGAGCTGCCCAAGTCATTCTTTTTCATTCTCAAATTTGAACACTACTACTTTAGGAGGAGGGCCAACTGCATGATTAATGTATTTTTCTAAGTATGACATTGTCTTTGGGAGCCAGCAAGTTTAAGAACCAGTGATGCAAAGGTCACAACTGACACAAAAGTGACTGTAGTCCACATAGATGCAGTTATGTTAGTGGCTCATAGAAACATCCAGGTAACAGATACCTGTGGTTTCTGGGTATGATTCTATTCCCAGTTTATAAGATGCCTTTGTGCAAAAAAAATGTCCTTGAAGCCACCTCATGACATTGTGCAGGGAAAATGTAATAAATACAGTCATCCCTAAGTGTCTGTGGGGAATTGGTTCCAGGATCTCCCTTACACCACAGTTGATGGATGCTCAAATACCTACACACAATGACACAGCATTTGCATATGATCTAGGCACATGCTCCTGTATGCTTTTAGTCATCTCTAGAATACTTAAAATACCTAATGAAATGTAAGTGCCAAATAAGTAGTTCTTATACTATATTGTTTAGGGAATAATGGTGAGATTAAAGGCTTGTGCATGTTCAATACAGGTGCATGTTTTTCTAGAATATTTTTGGTTGAGTCTGCCAATGTAGAATTCCTCTGAAACACTGAAGGGCTGCATGTATATCAATCAATGATGCTTGTGATAGGAAGAGCACTCCCTTAGTGGTTCCCTGGATGCAGCCAGCACAGTATATGCATGCCCAGGTGAAGGAGAACAGCCAGTCTTGTGGTAAAATATAGTCCCAATTAGAAAGCATCAAAGCTATCCAGCTCCATAAACATGGACCTGGGAACACTCCACTTCCAGAGAGTATGTACATCAGACTAGGGATAAAGGGAGAATTCAATATCCCTGGGCAGATGAGCTTCCTCATTCACCTTGTCAACTCTTCATAGATGATTTTACACAAGGGAGAAAAAAAATCATAGATTATCATTTCCAAGTAGGAGGGAGAGTTTTGTATGTGTTGGTGCCCATATATCAGGTATCCAGCAAGCACCAATTTCTTGCTCTCAATTGACCCTACCTCAATCACAGTAGCTTGGGGCTGGCCCAACAGAAGATTTGCAGCTGAAAAGTAGGTTTTCTGTGAAATAAGAAAGGAAACTGAGAGTCCTGGGAGGAAACAGAGAGGAAATGATCAGTAACTTAGAAGGTTTTTTAAATTTCTGTTTGTTTTTTGGAACTCAGGGTCTCATGCACGGCACACCAGTGCTTTACCACTGAGCTACATCCCTAGTCCTTTTTTTAGTTTTTATTTTGATACAGGGTCTCACTAAGTGTGTAGGCTGACTCCAAACTTGCAATCTTCCTGCCTTGGCTTCCTGAGTATCTGGGATTACAGGTGGGCACCACCATACCCAACTTCAGGGTTCCATCTTCATATGCCTCAGCACACCATGGGCTACATGTATTCCATTTAATGGAAGTTGTAGCACTGCAGGTGTAAAGAGAGCAAGTGCAGAGCAGATGTTTCTTGCCAGTCAGCCACATCAGTCATTACCACTCCCCGCAAAATGGTCTCTTTTACTTAGTTCTTCACTGAGTTCTAATTTTCTTTCCACGTCAGGAATCCTCATCATGATGTCCATGTGCAGAGAAGTACACGTGTACGAATATATCCCATCTGTCCGGCAGACGGAGCTTTGCCACTACCATGAGCTGTACTACGATGCAGCCTGCACCCTGGGAGCCTACCACCCGCTGCTGTACGAGAAACTCCTGGTGCAGCGCCTGAACATGGGCACCCAGGCTGATTTGCATCACAAGGGCAAGGTGGTCCTGCCGGGTTTCCAGGCTGTGCACTGCCCTGCACCCAAACCCATCAATGCACACTCTTAAAAGTGACTCTTGGGAATCAATGTGCAATAAGGTACTACTGTTGTCCTCGAAGTCACAAAAGAATACTTGAAACTAGATTTTAGACAATGTAGTATTGAGTCTTTAAACTGTAATTTAGTGGTGACCCTGAGAATTCTTCTCTTTCTAAAGCCATTGAGTATTTATTACTGCTTTGAATATAGAAATGGAATTTTAAAAAAAATACTCGAGAAAGATGCAAAAAAAAAGAATATATAAAAAGAAAACAGATGTATAACCATGGGTATGATACCTCCAAAAAAGGCTGGCCTTTTCTTATGCCAGTGGTACCCTTTATCAGGGTGGGTAATGAAATGGTTTCTATCTAGAAATATCCAAATTGAGGTCTAGTACCTAGCGTGTCACTTATATATGTATTCATCCTTAAGTTTCCTGGATTTTATGATGAATGCCTGAAATATCACTCAGATATTTTATCTTGGCAGCAAAAAATCCCCCGTGTATCTGATCAGGTGCACAAGTTTCCAACCTTTGTGTCCCCCATCTCCTCTTTGCATTGTCCACTGAATGCTTTGCACTCTGCGTATCAGGACAATTTCTAAAACCATAAATCATCCATCCTGAGCAGTCCAAGGAAATGCCCAACCCCTGAGAGCACCACAGACAGGCCTTTTGGTTCCCTGCAAGGCTTGGTTTCACTCAGACAACATCACTGGCAAGTCCACACAGAATCACGAGGCTGTAGAGGCAGGGGGAGGACATTCCTCAGCTTTAGCTTTTCAACCTTGTGCCTCCAGGCCTGCAGGTCCACCCCACAGCTCTTGGATAGCAGGTGGCTCATGTGACAATTGGTACAACCTGGCAGGAGAAGCCAGGGGACAGACTTGTTCCTTCCAAACTGGACAGGACTGTGGCGCCACCAGCCCGGGCTGTGGGGGACGCATGCCTCTCTCTTTTATACAGATTTCTTGCAGGTTTATATCAGCTGTTGGAAACTTGACAGTGATGTACTCCAAATTTTCACTGATTCTTTGTACTGACAGACATTTAAAAATCCGATCCTTGTTTTCACCAGTATGTTTGATGTCAACAGCATGACAAAGCCATATTATTAAATAAAATTGTGTGAAAGCATGGCTTTTTAACAGCAAGGAAAGAAAATTTTCAGATGGAAATGCAATTAGGGGAAATTTTCACCCCCATGTGGTAGCTATATTCAGGTTTTTAAATCTCAACTTGTGTCCCTGATACATGATTATTATTATTCTTATTTTGGTATGAAGATAGTACAATAGAAACATTTTGGAATACCTTAATTAAACATGCTATTATTTCAATATTAAAACGAAAACTATCTCAGTGGTACAGTTAAAACTTGTTGGCAATGACAGAAGCTTAATTAAATACTATTTCCCTTTCAGAGTCCGTGAATGTCAGGAGAGTTTAGTGGAAAAGGTTTTTTTTTGTTGTTTCAGGATTGGTTTGTTCCAGAATGCTCTCGGGACTGCTTTCTTGAGCAAGAGTGGTTTACAGACACTGACAGCTTCTATTTAGTTATTCTACTCAGCAGAAAGCAAGTTGGATAACAGACATCCCCTGTGGCTTATTACAGTATCAAAGTGGGAGTAATTGAAAACTTTGAGTCCTGACAATATCTAATAAAAGTCCATTTTGAGAGCCCTGTTACTAGCCTATGAGAAGGGATAGATGGTTCTTCCATGTGCTGACTTACATCTCAGTAGACATGGTCCTGCCGTGTTTCTAATTTCCCAGAAGATCTCAGGCTCATCCCCGTTTATGTGTGTAACAGCTTCTGTAACTCTAGAACGCAGCGAGAAAGTTATAATGTGGGACAAGTATTTCCTCCTGGAATCCTTGGATTTTCTAAGTCTTCCAAGTTTTTCCATGTTAAATGCCCACAACTATTAAAGTTCTTTTCATAGAGCTCTAATGGATTCACTTATGGGCATCCATATTATCCAGGACACCCTATCTTGGGTGACATGAGATTATAGCTAGAGAATAATGTATTGGAATCAACATGAATATTTGTGACCAAAAGCCCCAGAAAACACTTTAAAGATTTTTAAATAGCATTCTGTTATAGCATGTGTACTTTTAAAAGGGCACTTTCATGAAGGTAACAAGAAAGACTGGAGAGCATAAAGGAAACTTAATTAAAATTTTTGAATTTATTATGGCCCTAAAGACTCTGGGGATCAGAGTCTGTTAAACGTTCAGAAAATGTGATACACATATTAATATAGTGTTGGCTGGGCATTCCTCTATTTAAAAGTTTATATTGTTTAAATTCCCAAAAATGTTACACAGCGATAGTTAATGAAGGCTGCTTTTAGTAGTAGCTAAATGGGCCCTAAGTGGCAGTATTTTGCCAGATATTTATTAAATTTACATACCATACTTAGGAACTCCCATAAACAGAGTCACAGCCTTTCTGTGGAGTAGTTACAGTAAATGGAACCCCACCTCTGTCAGAAATCTGTCCCTTTTAGGAAGGAAAGCTGGTTAAATCTTCATGGTGCAATCTGAAGCCATCAGGGGGTTCTTTATCTACACTCAGGACTAAGATGTCACATTTCTTTGCATTTCAAGACAGCGTCACTCTATCTCTTATTGTCACTATTGTAAAGAAACAAATGTTGACCAAGAATGACAATTCAAACACATCTAGGTTCCCCATATTTTTTTCTCCAGTTGATCACGTGAGGCAGGAGGATAGTGTGTAACAAGTGTGTCATTCTCAATCCTGGATTGTTCCCATGGAATGCCAATGATGGGCCTTGTCCCTGACTTCCCCTCTACATTCTTACAGGGCTGCTTCTATGGAGAACTTTGTGCTCAGGACCAAGAGATGATTGATTAAAAGTTGCATGTAAGCCTCAGGGCTGGGCTTTACCAGGCAATTCAGAGGTTTTGACACATCTTTGCATCATTGTGTCTTTCCTGGTCTTCCTGGACACAGAGCTCAAAAAAATAGCACTTCCATGTGTCTCATCTGCTTGGTCCCTCAGCCACTTTATCAATCCTGGACTCTCCGGTAGTCTTCTGTCATTATAGCCATAACATGTGGGCAAAAGCAACACTAAGATAATCCTTAACTTTTTCAAAATTGGGGAAACCAAGGAACTGGATAACTCTAAGATGAGTTTATGAGCCAGTTCATTCTGCCGGAACAGGTTATATCTTATGTTCTTGATGGACCCTTCTGACAGTAAGGAACACTGTGTCTACTGAATTAATTAGGTGCTGTTTGGGTGCATAAGGTGGGATCAGTCTTAGATGAGTAACAACATTTCATATGCACCAATGACACAAGCAGATTTCTCCAGGTTTTCTTATAAATCAACACACAGTGCATATGGTCAGGTTACTTGATCTCCTCTGCTTGGCTGTGGGAAAGACAGAGAAAGGGCATGGAGTGGGACTTGGGGAATTATCAACAGGTGCATGATTGAATATATAGGACCCTAGTCTCAGATTGTGTTCTGTCATGTTGCCTGTTTGGATTTCTGACTTTGTGATGATTTAGGTCTCTAACCCTGTGGTTACACACCCAATCAAGGCAGCTCCATTTAGAAATCAATTGCTTAGTTAAAATGTGCCTGAGTTTAAACTTGTTTTTTATACTCTGGATATTTCCATTGTGAAATTATTCTGCATGTTTCTGTCGGGCATTGTTTAAACACTTGGTAAATGAATGGTCTTTTTCTGACAAAAAATGGAAGTTCTGATTCTTGTTTTATTAAATGAATAAAGAATTTTAGTGAGAAAAAATAATCTGACATATTCTCTACAAGTTTAGGCTAATGAAATTTGAAGAATTAAAGACACTGATATAGTTCTTATCTTAGTAGAAAAGTGTGCATGTAGATATAGTTATATAATTGTATATATACATATCTACACACATGGTTGGTTTTATAGTCTTTTTCATTAATCTTTATGATGAAATCTTTACAGTAAATCTTATTTTAATTATGAAAACACCAATTTTTTAAGAGAAGGAAGCAAATGTTTTATGTCCTTCTGTTAAAAAATAATTACTCCTCTACCTACCCACCCAGACATACACACTCACATTCTGCACATTTTGACAATATTAAAAGAATAACAGAAATATTTCAAAGGCATAATGATGGTAGAACCACTACCTTAATACAGAATTCTAGTCACAAGCCTGATTTAATTCTGAACTTTGAAGAGTTTACCTGTAATAGCTCATGGCTTTTACAAGATTAGGGGAAGAAACACTTATTGGTTCCAAGGAAAATAGTCTTCTATAGCTAAGTTTCAAACAAATAAAATGCATTGGTAATGTTAAAATCTAACATTCATAACACACATCCCATTTTGTTCTAGATAAAATGCTTATAAAATCCTTCCAGTGGAAACCAGTGAACTTTTTTAACAGGTTTGGGAATTTTTTTGTATGATGATTTTTAAAAACTAAATGTGTACTCTTCAAACTAATTAAGGCCTGAGGTTTTCCAGGAGTTGCATTTAAAAAAAAAAAGTGTTTGTACACATTTTAACACTTTGATATTTTCTATTTTGGTTTTGTATATTTTTATGTATACACAGTGTACAGACTTTTTCTTGTAAATAAAACACACTTTTCATTTGTCTAGAAGTTTCTCTGTTTTTATTTGTAGAAGTCACACATGGAAATGACTAAGTGGCATAATAATGAGCCATTCCTAGAGGAGCAAAAAAAGTCACCCAAAGCTGAAATCTAATTAGAAGACTGGATGGCAAAAGAAGTAACAGCCCATGCCTTCAAACTATAAATATTAGCACAGCCTGACCCGGAGCCAGAGGTGGTGGAGAGTTCTTCCAGGGTTTGATTGTCACATGCAGGAAAATGAAGTGGTAAAATCAAGTGGGAAAGACAGATTTTCAGCAAACCCATCCTGATGTTACCTTAGTCACCTAGCTTTTTGATGAACTTATTGCACTTATTAATTTATTACTCTTCCCCATTGTGTCAGTAATTTAAGTTG